ATATTGTACTTTCAGGAAAATTTTAAATATGTATTGACAATTAAGGACATACGCAACGTACATTACCTAATGATAGATTTCCAAGATATTCTAAATATAATTACATGTTCATAGACAAAATATAAGCATGCCTTACCAGAGGTTTTGAAAAGATATCGAATTTTGAAAATTTTTGCATTATTCAAATAAAATTGTGCAAAAATTATAAAGTATAAATTTAAGATTTTTTTTCTTCAAAAATTGTTTTAGAAGAGGTGTTCAAATCCTTTTTTAGACATTAAAAATACTGCACACAGGTCCTTCATTTAGTGGAACTCTTCAACTCCAGGGGAGAGCCCAAAACAGTTCAAACTACGTTGCGTATGACCTTAAGTACGTGATTTGTAATAGAACTATAGGTGTGATATGAAAGCATTAGCACTAGCTCAATGTTTGTGAATGATTATGTTTTACTCATGAAAAATTAATAAATGCAAATATCTGAGCAGGTCAGACAATGCAAGTGAGATGCAAGTGAGATAAATTTGCTTTCTCTAATTTTTACTTGAATTTAAGGATGTATTCTTATGATACGCGGAAAAAAACGTGCATTAAACTTTCTAAATGCTTATATTTTTCTGAAAATGTAATATCAAGGAATAATTTAAAGACAAGAAAAATGTTTGTTAGTGTTCATCTAAGAGAGGTTCAACCCTTTGAACATAAGCCAAAATAGAGCATGGGAAAATTTCCTAAAAATGCTACTTAACCATAAAATACATCATAAAACTTAAAAATACAGTAACTTAAAACTTAATTTGGCTTAAATTTACTTGAAAATATTGAAAAGTTCATTTTTGATGCAAAATATGAGCAAATAATTCCAATCTTAAATTTATCTATTGATTCCTTGTGTTTTGATTGCACGAGAACAAATTCAAGAAAAAGTTTACACATCGATGAATTTTTCAACCAGAACTACTTTCTTGACTGTTGTAAAAACAACGGATACTTCTAGTCGGTTTTAGCTAAATTATGATTACAAGAAACTTACAATAAAAATGAATCGAATGAATTAATGAATGAAAAGGAGATAAGCAGGACTGACAGACGGGAATATTATGTTTATGTCATGTCACTGTCGGATCACGAGTGTGAATTTTAAAAAATCGCTGATCACGCTGTCATTTTCTCGACGTTCCATATCAGCTCAGTTGGTATCGGTGTGATAGGGAAAAGAAACATACCTCAGACTCTTACCTATCCAGCATCAAATTCATATATTTACATCCTACAGATCCCATATTCTCCCTAAATCTTTGAAGGAACCAGAGCAAATCGAGGACGTCGTCGGTCTTCAACTTTCGTCATGACGTCAACATGGCCATGGTCAAGGACGAATTATTTTGGAGAATACGCGTATTTACGATTTTTGTTGACTTAAACAACATTCAATGAGTTTCTGTAAGTTTAATTATTGATTGTTTTGACAAATAAAGTTGGATTTTATTTATATTCATTTTGTATACGTTTCTTTGCGACATTAAGTATTCCTACGCCGTACAAAATAACGGATTGTATGGCGGCCTCTAACCGGTCACGGTAGCCTAGTGGTAGAGCGTTCGCTTCGTGATCGGGAGGCCCGGGTTCGATTCTCGATCGCGGCGCCGCGTCATACCTAAGACGTAAACATAGGTAGTGACTGTTCCTTCGCCAAGCGCTCGGCACTAGAAGTGAAAGTCACGGGTCTTTCGGATATGACCTTAAAAACGTAGGTCCCGTGTCACGGTAGGCGTTGGCACGATAAAGAACCCTCACTGCTCAATGGCCCTGAGTGTCGAGTATAGGTCTAAATTTGAAGCCCTTCACCGGCATCGGTGACGTCTCCATATGAGTGAAAAATTCTCAAGAGGGACGTTAAACAATATACAATCAATCAATCATATGTATGGCGGCCTCAAAGAGAAATAATTTTAATAATTAAAAAAAAATCGTAGTTGGAATTATAAGAATTAACCGTTCTTTTTTCAGAATTTATCGATGTGTAAACTCTGCCTTTTTACTCACAAACTTTACATAAAAGTGCTTCGCACTTTATTTCAGTTTGTGAGTAAAAAGGCAGAGTTTACACATCGATAAATTCTGAAAAAAGAACGGTTAATCCTATAATAAATACCAATTAGTTAACTTGTACCAAAAAATGTTGTTCACCCACGTAAAAATAAGGCACATTTTCCCCTATAAAATTGCTCGAAAAACCAAAGAAAAACATATTTCTACAAATAAACTTTTAAAGAAAATTGTTGTACAGTTTCTTTAGGTATTATGGCTTCTTTTCATATCATGAAAAGGTGGGCTTAGTGTGCATATAAGAAAGTTTTAATATTTTTTATATCCCCACCCCCTGTTTCTTTTTCAGCATTTAATGAAAATAAATCAAGGCATTTAGGCATCAAAGTATGCGTTTTATTCACCAAATATTCAAAATTGGTGTGATATTTTCAGGTAATACTTGCGATTTTGTTAAGAAAAGATTTTTAAGAACAAAAAGTAATCAATTAACACATAAAACTTCATAATAATCTGTTGGATGTCATCTCTTTCTCTTGCCCTGCAGGGTTCCGGATTGGGGTGTTGGATGGTGGCTTCACAGGGATTAGTCATATTCAGTCCCACTTTCTCAATCTGATTTTCATGGTTTTCTCCATCTGATTTTAGTGGTTATAAACCCTGCTTTCTTCTAAAGGCCTTCATTAGTGATTCTTGTGAAAACAAGACATACCTGTAAAAAGTTATTTAAAAACAAATTAGATTTTAATTTACTGGTACTATAATTGTTCAAAAAATGTGAAATCATTTTTTTGTCTATCTGACTTTGTTTTTATGAGCCAAAGCATGTAGTTTAGACTTAAATAATTTCCATATGATTCATGATGTTTCAGAAATATTCAATTTTTTAACCCGCATAGGCCGCCATAGAATGAAGCGACCTAGTTTCTTACCGAATGTAAACAGCTAAAAATTATAGAAGTTATCATATTATTTTCTTACGGTATGTCTGTAAATTTTGGATAGAGATTCTGCATTTACAATATTAAAGGTAATTTATCATATACTAAAAGCTAAAGTTGCAATAAAAAGGAATACGAATGTTGTCGTCTGCACGCACGCCTAGTCTTTAGGCCTACTACGTACATGTAACATTTTTATAATATATGTTTGAGTTTGCGATGTGACAGTATACTATGTATTTTGAAACCTTTGTATCTATAATGCATAAACATTGCTATTTTCAATAAGTTTGAAAGCATTGTAAACCTACATTTTCGCTTTTCCGCTGCTACTAGAACGTCGTCAACACACTTCGGCGCTCTTGGCTGGCATGTTTGGGTACTGCTTTCGAGAATGTTCCTGTAGGCCGTGATCTCGACAATTTTTTAAATTTTTGAAATTTCAGACGGTTGGCTCTTTTAATGGAGTGCCATTCGGCATTCTTGTCGCTTTGAAACGGGCGATCCCGTCTTCTTGAGTCTTCCCCTCTCGATCATGTCGATTTCAACTTGTCGACTTTCTAGGCCTATGTCGTAAATATCGTAATTTTGCACACGTGTTAGTCATTTATACAACATAGAAAGATTTTTTATTTAAAAATAAATATAGTTAAACATATAAATCATAAAAACTTTAAAAACTTGTTTGCAAATTAATATCAGTTTGAATTTTACGACATGTCTAAGTACGAAGACCCACTTGGGATAAAATGATCATAAGAATACATCCTTAACGGTCGATCTATTTGGGGTTGTGCACGTGGGGAAATGAGATATTATTCTTTTATTAGTTTAGTAAAATAGGCCCTAATTCTCAAATGATAACATGTAGAAAATCATGAGTAAAATATTTAAAATACTTGCTTTACTACTAAAGTTTTAATCGTTGTTAATCTGTTTCAATTCCATTATCATTTCGCATCAGATAATTAATTATTTATGGTTAAATAAAAAGCGTTTACAATACGTACTCCCTATCAGGGAGTGTGTTTGATACGAAAAGAAATCGTCGTGATTTTTCCAGATAATAATGATGTGCACAAGGTAAAAGTGCATGATGAATAAAAGATTGAAAAAAAAAAATGCTGCTCTAGTAAAAACTTGTTTGAAAATCCTACTGCTGAGAATGAAACAAAGATTTTTTTTATACATTTTGAACCACGTCGTGAATTAAGCATACCTTACTCTGTAGAAACCGTAAAGGCATTATCCCGTAAAAAAAATTCAGGGTATCAGCACGTGGTTCATCTCATAGGCACTTGGTTACAGGATAGTATTTTGTGTTTTTCTATGTGTGTCTGAATACATTCATTTAAATAAAAATTAAAAATCGCCAAAACTATCACGTTTTTAAAATTGTCATATTTACTGTATATAAAAAAGAAGATATACGATGAGTATGAGATTTTAAAAACGTGCTAATTTTTTTTTATTTTAATGAGGGTAATCAGACACACCTAGAGAAACATATAATACACGAAATACACCATCCTGAAATCAAGCGCCTTTGGTTCGTCTTGAGAGGCCTACAACTTCGTTTTGATGCCAATAATTTTTCATATTCACCATTGACCTTTTTAAATCTGTAAATCCATTGGATGAGCGAATGCACTGACATTCCTAGTTATTTAATTAAAGTATTTATTTACTAATACAGTATTTATTTTGCTTTGAAAATGGTCTGAAATAAAAGAAAAAAAATCACAATTTCAGCTTTGAATGTCCTGTTTTTATTGCATGAATGCTTTGAATTGTGAAAGTAATTTTTTGGCATGCTAAATTTGTTAGTGGCCGATTTCATGCTTTGCATCAATATTACTTGTATTTTATTGTAGTGATATTATATAAATATTACCGTTCTTTGGACCCATTACCAGTCTGTATTGGTTATATTATGATAAGGTTATCCACAAGGCCTGTTGGCCTCGATTTTCCTTTGCTCGCATAAACTTGATTTGTCTTTATTAATAGCACATGGAACATTGCTACAAGCAACACCACACAGAACTTGCAACCAACAACATCGTCTCCAGAAACATCATCCCATGTAGCAGAGATCGTGGGAGGTCTAGTTACCTTCCTGGCAATACTTACTGTTATTTTGATATTAGCTGTTTTTCTATGGAAAAGAAAAAGGAGTCAGAAAACTGGGATACAGGAACTTAGTATTCGATATGAAGATGGTCAGTATATTCTGTATTTAAAAAAATGTATCATTCCTCTGAATTAAAAGCATCATTTTAATTTATTTCTCAATCTTCTCTTATTTCTTTCGTTTTAGCTGAAGTTAAAGAGTTGTTGCTAGTAAAGGGGGATGAAACCGCAGGTAATTCATTTTGGAAATATTATGCTGTGATGCCTGTTTTTTGAACTGAATAGAATAGACAAAAATACATGTATTATGTTATTATAATTAATGTCACTTAATTTTTAGACATAATCAAAACAGCTGAGGAAAATGACAACAATACACAAGAGCAAGGAGAAAATGACGGAGAAATGGAGGCTATTAATGAAATATCCAATGATCCGAAACAAATAGAACTGTCTATTCCTAAAGATATTACCAGAGGTAACACTAAGATCGGGAATAATGCTTTAATATTTGATAAAGCACTCATGAAATTATTATTTCAATAGTGGTTGAGAGTGCATACCAATAACAAAACATAGGTTGCAACCACTATTGAAATATGACCACTATTGAAATACTTATTTCAATAGTAGAAGAGAATTCATTTCAATAACAAACATAGGTTGCAACCACTGTTACAACGCACTTTGAAAAATTACGCACTTTGAACATTTTTAGCTCACCTGAGCCGAAGGCTCAAGTGAGCTTTTCTGATCACATTTTGTCCGTCGTCCGTCCGTCTGTCTGTCTGTCCGTCTGTCTGTCCGTCTGTCTGTCTGTCTGTCTGTCCGTCTGTAAACTTTGCACATTTTTGACTTCTTCTCAAGAACCACTGGGCCAATTTTGACCAAACTTGGTACAAAGCATCCTTGGGTGAAGGGAAATTTAAATTGTTAAAATGAAGGGACATATCCCCTCGCAAGGGAAGATAATCAAGAAAAGACAAAAAAAGGGTTGGGTCATTAAAAAATCTTCTTCTCAAGAACCACTGGGCCAGTAAAGCTGAAACTTATGTGGAAGCATCCTAGGATAGCGTAGATTCTAAATTGTTCAAATCATAACCCCCGGGGGAAGGGCGGGGCCACAATGGGGAATCGAAGTTTTATATAGAAATATATAGGAAAAATCTTTGAAAATCTTCTTCTCAAGAACCACTGGGCCAGAAAAGCTGAAACTTATGTGGAAGCATCCTGGTATAGTGTAGATTCTAAATTGTTCACATCATGACCCCTGGGGGAAGGGCGGGGCCACAATGGGGTATCAAAGTTTTACATAGAAATATATAGGAAAAATCTTTGAAAATCTTCTTCTCAAGAACCACTGGGCCAGAAAAGCTGAAACTTATGTGGAAGCATCCTGGTATAATGTAGATTCTAAATTGTTAAAATAATGACCCCTGGGGGAAGGGTGGGGCCACAATGGGGTATCAAAGTTTTACATAGAAATATTTAGGAAAAATCTTTGAAAATCTTCTTCTCAAGAACCACTGGGCCAGAAAAGCTGAAACTTATGTGGAAGCATCCTGGTGTAGTGTAGATTCTAAATTGTTCAAATCATAACCCCCGGGGGAAGGGCGGGGCCACAATGGAGAATCGAAGTTTTATATAGAAATATATAGGAAAAAATCTTTGAAAATCTTCTTCTCAAGAACCACTGTGCCAGAAAAGCTGAAACTTATGTGGAAGCATCCTGGTATAATGTAGATTCTAAATTGTTCAAATCATGACCCCCGGGGGAAGGGCGGGGCCACAATGGGGAATCGAAGTTTTATATAGAAATATATAGGAAAAATCTTTGAAAATCTTCTTCTCAAGAACCACAGGGCCAGAAAAAGTGAAGCTTATGTGGAAGCATTCTGGGGTAGTGTAAATTCTAAATTGTAGGAATCATGACCCCCGGGGGAAGGGCGGGGCCATTATAGGGAATCAAAGTTTCACATAGAAATATATAGGAAAAATCTTTGAAAATCTTCTTCTCATGATCCACTGGGCCAAAAAAGCTGAAACATATGTGCCCATGGAAGGATCATGGGGTAGTGTAGATTTCAAAATGTCTAAATTACGATCAGTGGGGTAGGGTGGGGATGCATTATTTATAACAAGGGTTAAATCTGGTAAAGAACAGAATGGTCTAAGCTTCTCAGGTGAGCGATGTGGCCCATGGGCCTCTTGTTTTCAAAGTGCGCTAAATTTGGGACCAAGCTAACGCACTTCGAAAAAAAATTAATTTTTTTTTTCATAGGTATGAAAATGCTCGATGGTCGATATTAACGCACTTTGAAAAAAATGTAAAGATTGATCAAAATTCCTTAAAAAAAATAATCGGTATGATAAATAACAGATCCTGGTTGGATAACTTTTTTTATGATAAAGTCACTTCAGGACCTGAGATATTGACGTTTTAAATGTTTGAGGTTTTGATAAAATAAAAGGGAAAAGGGTCTTGAAAAAAATAGTGACGATTGTTTAAGATCATTAATTCGTTTTTTTTTAATTCTCGTCTTTGATAAATAGATGTAAAGTTGTAAAGGGTGCACTAAAAGTGGACAGCTTTAAGCAACTTAGCATTTATCATAATAAAAAAGGGACAATTTGATTGTTCAGAACAATGAAAATTATTTCTCTCTCCCACGTTTTACTGTACTTAAATTTTTTTAGTTTTCATCTGTTTTAATTAACTCATTAACTATTGAAAGTTTTTAACGTCATTCCAGTTAGGTAAAAACATAATTATATGAATGTTTGAGTATAGCATAGATATCGAGACCGGGCGAAGGGCCAGGGGAGGGGAGCTAAGCCCTCCACTTATTTTGGAAAGATATATACATCGTATAAGCATTGAAAATGCAGCTTACCCCTTTTGGGTTTATTGCTCGCCTCCCCCGTTTGTTACCGACACCTATGTATTGGACAGATAAAGATTTGGACTGAGGCTAGGGATCTTATACCCGTCTTCTCCTCTTTTCGACGGGAGTAAATCAATTCTTTTTTGAGGTTAGGGTAAGGTTTTTGAAAGATAAATAACAAATAAAATCTTTCCATTACTAAAATCTGATTCTTTTTCAAAGTGCGTTAAGTGTCTCCATGGTAAAATATATTGATGTAGACTCTTAACGCACTTTGAAAAAAAATTTCAAAGTGCGTAATTTTTTCAAAGTGCGTTGTCACATACCACTATGAAATTCGACAACTATTTAAAAACTTATTTCAATAGTAGTTGAAAGTGGATTTCAATAACAAACATCAGCTGCAAACACTCTGAATTAGAGGCAACATTTTGATTTATTTCTTAATCATCTCTTATTTTTTTTCGTTTTAGTTGAAGTTAAAGAGTTGTTGCTAGAAGAGGAGAATGCAACCTTGGGTAATTATTTCGGGAATATTATGCTATGATGCCTGTATTTTGAATAGAATATAATAAAATATTAGGATATCATTATGAATCTCTTAATTTTAGACATAATCAAAACAGGAGAGGAAAATGACAACAATACACAAGAGCACAAAGAGGATGACGGAGAAATTGAGGATATTGTTGAAATATCCAATGACCCAAAACAAATAGAAATGTCTATTCGTAAAGATAATGCCAGAGGTAACACTAACATTAAACTCCTTTTTTTGTCTCTCTCTCTCTCTCGCTCTCTCCGAAAAATAATTGGAGAATAATGCTTTAATATTCAATAAAGCTTTTTTAATTAATTGGGGATGTATTTTTTAACAATTGATTAATATACTTAAGGTATTTCATCCCTAACAGCCTAAGATTCAATGAATTAGAAAACGTAAAAAGATGTTTACGGTTGGAATACTCAGCAGATTTAGACATAATTTCCATTTATCAAAATATATTACTTTAAGCATATACGAATAAAACGCGTCCTAATTTATGACTTTGACCTTTGTTGAAGAGTAATAAAAATTAATTTTAAAAATCTTTACGGTTAAAAAAAAAATTTTTATTGTCATTCTATTTCTCACTCTTTTATATATCTTATTCTACTTTAAAATGCTTTAATTTGAAGTAATATCAGTGTGTTATATATGTAATGGATATTTAAGGATAGAGAGTTATGTTCTATCAGGAATGGAAAACCTTCATTTAATCCAGATCATATTGTAATTAAGCTGCGTAAAAAGGATTCTTACAGAAAAAACTCCTGTACCATTACTTCAACACTTCAGGTAAAAAATAAAAAGGTGTAATATTTGCTTCATATTATATTTGAAGAGAATTCTTCTCTCTTTTGTTTACTCATGTGACCTATTAGTATCTGTTTTCATCCGCCTTCGTTCATCGTGTGACCGCGACGTGCGATATGTGTAAACAATTGAACTTTTTCATCTTCTTCCTGGAAACAACTCAACAAATTCCATCCAATTTGGCATATACTTATAGCTTCTATGGATGAAGTGGAACAACAATTATGAATTTCATGGTGCCCCCCCCCCATCCGTGGGGGTGCTGTGAAGTGTAGCAAAAGCAACTTAAATGAATGATGCAATCCTTATAAAATATTTTTCTTTACATCTAAATACATGTATCAAGCTGTTAAACTGTTGAAAAAAAATGTAATAAGCATTGAGTCCTTTTCCAAAATTGTGAATTTTATAGCCCCAGTGTTAGGGGTCCTTGTGCTAGGGTGGAGCTCTTTTGATTATATATGTCCTGAAAATGCATCAATTCTTTGAAAATCGTCTTTTCTGCTCCTTAATATTAAACAAACAAAGATTTTTTGATTATATAGAAAAATTCATTAATTTTTGGAAATTTTCTCCTCTGTTCATTATACCGATGATCTGCATACATAGTTATGATGTTATGATGAGCAAGGGTGTCTCTTCAGGAATTAAGAATTTCATGTCCACTAGGTCAGTGGTCCTGGTGTTAGAATGAGGCTCTATAAATTTTATAGTGAAAATATTTTTTGTGTGGATAATCTCCTCAACCTCAGGGTGTATGTCATGATCTAAGCATAAAGTTATGATGAGCAGGGGTGCTCCAGAATTTTGAACCCCTGGTGAGGGCTCTACCGTGGAAGCTCTAATAACGATATTCTGAAAACGAATAAATAACTTTAAACTTGTTCTCTGCTATTATTCAAACATTTTTTTTTATGAACAGGGTTGTCTTTCAAATGAAATTTATGTAAAATGTATGACGTCAGGGTCAGGGGTTCTTTGGGGATCGGGGAACTACTGATTATCTAGGTGAAATGAATTTTTCTCTGTTCCTTTGTCTGCCTTTGGGTATTAAGTAATCAAACTAAGCATGCCAAGTTTAAGTTAGGATGAGCAATGTTTCTCTTCATGGAGTTTTGATCCTGAAAATTTGAGCAGATTTGGGTCTTGACCTTTATTTCTAAAAAGCTGCATCATTTTTAAGTTCTAACGTTAAATCTGGATTCGACGATGCAAATTAAACTATTCTGAAAGAAAAAAAAGAAATAGTAAACTTTTGAATTAAATTAAAACTATCTTTTCGGATATGTTTTCCAGAATTATTATCAAACATATGAATTCATCTTTAATCAACATACTACGAAAAGCTGGTGTGACTTTGACTGCGAATTCATGAGTTATTGAAATCGATATATCGATACCCCAGAAAATTCTCATGATCTCCCGTGCACATCAGTTACAGCCTTTATTCTCCTGTGCATTGAGTTTATCAGAGCATTTAGCTTTCTTACAGGATTATTATTCAACCCTCAATCTTAATAATTGAGAGTGTTGTTGTAACATTCTAAAGCCAACACTACCCAATGACCTCCAAGAATTTTTGCTTTAGAATAGAATTTACAGAATCCAGCTGGTCTGGTTCACTTTAATGTTTAACAGAATTTATCCACAAACACCGACTTCGTTTTCCCAATATGAAAATGTTTAATACATTACGCATACGACGTGTAAGTGTGCGTAAGAGAGTAAAATCGACGTAAAGTTGACAAACTATCCGACCGAATGGGAAGAGAGAGTTTCTGTCAGTATTAATGTGAAAATTATGGTTATCTTATTTTTTCGCACATTATGTTCTCTTGCGTTTCTTATTCCTTTCAGTATATATCCAATGAAAAAAACGCGATTAAATTAAATACAAATAGGAATAATTAAGCCAGAAACTCTATTTTTTTAGACTGAGGATTTTTTTAGAGGAAGATGATCACTTGAATTTTTTTTTGTAGTGAAATGTTTTATGCAGGTTCTAAAATAACTATTAAGCTATTTTTCACAAATTCTTTCATTATATTGTAAGAAATATTCTTAATATATTATGAAATACCAGGAAAATATTGAGCCACTTTAATCAGTAAATTTTAAAACATCATTCTATAATATCTAAAAATGACATCATAGACCCCCACTTTTGTTTTTTTTTCGGAATTTATAAGATAACTTTGATCAGTTAGCCAAATTCAGCAAAAGTTTAAGACTTAAAGACATAATTCTTCTTTTTTTTTTTTTTTTTTTTTTTGCTTGTTACATTTCATTGGCAGTAAAAACACATTTTATGAGTGCAGAATGGACAAAAAATGACTACACGAAACAATTAAAAACTTTGTCCTTAGTCAAAATTTAATTGTATTCTAGGTTTATATTGTCCCTTGATTTATTTAGATAAAGATTGAAAGGAAAGCGTTGATGATGTTATTCTTGATTTACACACAAATTTCAGTGCAGAAAAGTCATATTAAATGCACTGTAGCGCCTAAAGAAGTATATTGACCCCTCATTTTATGTTTTGAATTGTAATTAAGCTATATGTGTAGGAACTAAAAATATACTTGACTAAAAAGTTCAACAATTTAAGGATACAAACAAAAAATGGATGCCTGGATTAGTATATATTTTTTGATGTAATTTCATTGCAAATAATAAAATACTGTACTACAATATAAAGAAATTGTAAACCTGTGACGTTCTAAGTTCTACATTCTTGAAACCGTCCTTTTAAAGTCCTTATTACATGCATTCTACACACGTATTTTTCAATTCAAATTCCATTTTTGCGAAACTTTGATTGAAAAATTAAAAACTATGCGGTGCAACGTATTCATTTTATTCATTAAAGCACGGCCCGAGTGGTTATTTTCAAGATTTTTGACAAAAGTTTGTATCATCTGCCCTTAGAAATTAGGATCCATCATCGATAATAATTGAGAGGGTCAAGTCCAGTGGTATAAAATAAGAACAAGATTCAATTGTAACATTGAAACATGTTACTCAGGTTACTCATAAATTCTGTGGGCCCCCTGTTTATTTCTAGAATGTATTTTCAGTAACTTAATCGTGAAGTTGTATTATGTCTAGCTGCAATGTATGTTATATGAAGGAAATGGGGATAACAAACAGTATCCAATATCAAAGTCCATAAAACAATACAAAATAGGAGCAGAGTAAACACGGATCTCTGAAACATCGGAGGTGGGATCAGATGCCATGGAGGAGTGAGCATCCTTTGTTGATGGGTCACACCCGCCATGTGCTTCTTGTTATGATCTGGTAATAGCCGAAAAAAATCCGTCGTCAATTCAGATATAAATAATAGACGAACAATAATTACAGTCAGCATTTGAATCAAATATAAATTGTATTTGCTGACAAGTCATTGTATAGACCAAAGAACTTACGAAATGATGACTTTAAACGAGACTGCTGATACTCTTGTTTCATCAACTTGTTTGTCAATAATTTACCTCGTTTTCGAAATTGTTCATCCGAGTCAACTGAGATACATAAACGCCGTATGCAGATGATGAATGTGCATTGTGATTGTTAAATTTAAGAATTTTGTATATTGCTGCATACATGTAAGTAACTGAAGTTGACAATGGAAAAGAAAGAGTCATCACGTTCATCATAAAGTTTGATTGTAATATAACCATTAACGTCTTTATAATATTATTCCACCTTTGTTTCTTTTTGGAAAATAAATGTAAATCTGGATAAAAGACCTAAACGTTGTATGCTACATATACACATTAAGAAAAAAAACACACTAAAAATACTTTCGAGTCAAAAGGTCCAATAATTACAAGTATTAACGGAATGAATGTGAATAATGAAAGTTAATATACTTTTCATATTTTTGTAACGTCTATATGTTCTGATAATGGTAAATATTGTATCTCAATCGTCTGTTCGTCCGTTACAAAAAACGTTAACCTTGGTAATATTTTTAATGAGAAGAGATAGGGCTTTCATTTTTAAGCAATATGAAATGCATTTTTGAGAATTTTATTCTGCTGTTAAAATGTGCTATTATTAAAAATATGTTTGTAATAAAATCTTTGATAATCAATTAGACTAAAATGAAATATTAATTTTTAGACGAAAGATTGGTTGTGTATTATTATATGAGAAAAAAATATTGTACAAGACGACAATAATGTATTTCTTGCTTTAGTCAAAGAGTGTTAATAGTTGTTCCATTGCAAAAATGAACAACAGAAATTTGAATATGTTCTTAATTTTAGTAATTGAAATACTTTATCACAATAAAAATTTTGGACATCAGAGTTGCAGCTCATGTTGCTTTTAATATTTGTGTGCGTGTTTCTGTGATAAAACCTTTCTAAAAACACTCTGATTTTT